ACCACAATTTTCCTCTAGCTCACTTTACTTGGCCCTCCCCTATCCGTAAAAAAAGAGAAACTAAAAAGCTGGCACTTCATTAATGAGCACAGACTGGTGAGTGGGATTGTTCTGTTCCCCAGGGAGTATGGCAGAGCACAGTCAGAGACGAGCACCACTAATTAGACATGAGGGGGATAACCACTGAGCATTTAATTGCACTACGGACTCGGCCCAAAGCATGTATTCCTGTGTGCCACTTGTTAAGGTAACAGTCTTTTAAAGGCGAAGTGAGAAAAGTGAGGTTGTGAGAGGTGGTCGTTTTAACCCCCGTCACCTTTGTTCTCTCTGCTCCTCCATCCTCCACCCTCCCCACTCCAGTCTAGCTGGGCACTGAACACTTCTATGTCAGTAAGCATTTACCATGTGTTGCTGTGCAACCTGTGCACAGGGGAGAATGTCGGGAAGTGTCCGCCTGTCTCTGTTTCAGCCTGGCAGTGTGTTGAAGCTGAACAGATCAACACACAAACTAGCAGAACCTATTAAAGACCCACAACAGATGCAGAATACCCAGAGATGCTAAGCTCTTATGATACATGTTACATGAGATATGCATACAAGATATCATATGATATACAGTGGTCCCTTGTTTATCGCGGGAGTTGCGTTCTAAAAATGACTCGCGATAGGTGAAATCTGCGAAGTAGCCAACTTTATTTTTTCAATTATTATAGATGTTTTAAAGCAGGGGTGTCAAACTCAAATACACAGTGGGCCAAAATTCAAAACTGGAACAAAGTCGCGGGCTAACGTTAATATTTATTGAAATATATTTATTCCTCCAGATATAAGAATGAATCTTTTCTTATGGACTCAAACACGTTTTGCTGAAAAACTGAATATGGAACAAGCAAAGCTTAATACTAAACAATATATATATTAGCTGTATAATACCAGTAGGCCAGCTCTAATAGTAATTTTAGGGGTGCAACGATATTCGTATCGATATTGAACCGTTCGATACAGTGCTTTCGGTTCGGTACGCATATGTATCGAACAATACAACATTTGTAATTTATTTTATCAACTTTCCTTCTGACGATGCTGTCTGTGTTGAGCGCTCAGTGAATCTGCGTTCGACTACTCCGCCTAGGCTGCACTGTCGAGCGCAGATCCACTGAGCGCTCAACACAGACAGCATAGTCAGAAGGAAGAGCGCAGGGCAAGCTAGCGAGACAGAAGTTAAGCTCTCCTTGCAACATGGCAAATTGAACCTCCCCCACCCTCATTCAGATCTGGCGTTTGGAATTATTTTGGTTTTCATGTGACGTATGACCCTGAAGGTAAGCGCGTCATGGACTAAAGTAAAACAGTATGTTGGATGTACCACGCACTAGTGTGTTAGCGCAGTTAGCTCGTTAACGTGTTGGCTGTCTAGCCCCACGCACGGAGATTTGCCGTGTTGTGGCGTTAACGTCATTTCAACGAGATTAACGCTGACAGCACTAGTGGGAACACAACGAATATGACTGCACATTTACGCCGACATCATCCTAGTGCAAAGACAAGTGGAAGCAGACAAAAACAACAAGCATGCATGCTACAAACTTTACCCGAGTCATTTAGACAGCCGTTAGCACATGATTCTCCTTATGGGGACCTGATATGTTTAATATTGTGGCGAGCTCAGACAAGGAGGAGACGGAGGTGTCGTTTGGTCTTGCTTCCCGTGAGCTAGCCAGGGAGCACAGCCGTTTATTGACATCTGCAGAAGAACACTGCCGCTAGCTAACTGCTCAGCGCGGCAACCGCACAGACAACAACAACAACACACAGGGCGCCCTCTGACCCCGGAAGGACACACCGTCGCAGCGAGAGGGCGTCACCCGTCACTATGGCAACATAAACAAAACATAACTGTACAAACAGAACCCCGAACAGCCCTGACCCGCTACAATATGCTGCTGAGAATATAGCCCAGAAGAAGCGTATAGTATAGCTTTTATTTTGGAAAGAGCCATTTCTCTGTAATAAACTCTCTTTTCCAAAGATGAGTGATTCCTCAATCAGATACAGGGCTGCAAAATCGCTAGCCCGACGTCCTGGCTAAATAATAACCGGGGCTGCACATAAGTGGTCCGCAGGTGCGCATTCGCTGTCAAAATAAAAAACGCGCACAAGATAGAAGTTGCAACGCGTGTTTGCGTACATAAGATTTTCATGGAGGAGGACAGACATTTGTTTAGAACTCTTAAAGATGTCGAAGAAGCTCCTTTAAGCAATTACTTTGGTGTTCCTCTACCTCCAAAAAATGTCAGAAGGAGTCCGAACCACAAAAGAAGCGCGTATTCTCGGAAAAGTGGTTGCAGGAGGTGAGCTGGCTTCAAACAAATGATGAACGCACAGAGATGTGGTGCGGAATGTGCCGTGAAAATCCCACTCTAGCGGACAAAAACAGTGCTTTTTATATGGACGCAAACGCGCGTTGCAACTTCTTATCTGGTGCGCGTCTTTTTATTTATTTTTACAAATATTATATTATTTTAAGAAAGGCCCCCATTAGAACCCATGAGAAATGCAAGAAATGCATTATTGCTCAGTCTGCAATATCTTTCCCAGAACAAACACCAATTGCAAATAACATACTAAAAATAAACCTGAAAATCAGTTTAAAACAGCTACTATGTTGCAAAGAGTGAACTACCACTGGCACAATTTAGCAGTCTTTGCAAACTTCAAAAAGCAAATGGCCTCGATCTTGGTTCCACTTGTCTCTTACCCGTGACTTCAGTGGAAATTTCAAATTCAGGATCTGACACAGACTGATTCATGTCCTACACAGTTCTTACAAGTTCATAGAAATTTCTGTTCAATTAGAACCAAGTATTTGAGTTGATGATTGTAATTTTTATACAATGTTGTAATTTGTTTTTCAACAATTTTTTGATTAATGTTTTGTTTCCTTTACAATATTATACTTTAATGTATAATATTGTAAAGGAAACAAAACATCAATCAAAAAATTGCTCTCTTTTTTATTCGGGCTACTTAATTTATTTTGGGCTACCAAAAACTGAAGAGTCCCTGCCCGAAGGGCTACCAGGGATTTTGAAATTTTGAGAGCCCTGAGATATATTTATTTTTTTAATTACTTTTGTTTCAGCAACATTAAATTTAAAAACTGTACTTTTGAGTTAAAATATATATTTATAATTTTAATAAATGACAAATTAAAAAGGCATGAACATTTTTTTTGTATCGAAAAAATATCGAACCGTGACACCAAAGTATCGAACCGAACCGTGAATTTTGTGTATCGTTGCACCCCTAGTAATTTTGTATGGCATGAACATTTTCACACTTTTCTTTCCTGTTTAAAAAGTTCAAACCTTCGTAGAAAAGGAAGTCCAGCATTATAGAATGAAACCAAAGGGTTTCATTCTATAATGACGGTGCAAAACGTTTCGTCGACATTGTTGTGTTTGTTGGGGAGAAAACTTACAAACATACAGTACAGCACTTCAGCACTACAGGAGACACGGCACAAGATTGATTGACAATAGTCTACAGCCAATCAGGATGCAGAACACAATTTGCTCTAAGAAAAAAAAAAAGCATGCAAAATTGCTCAAAAAAAATAAAAATAAGTGAAACAGCGAGACCGCGAAAGGTGAACTGCGTTATAGCGAGGGACCACTGCATTAACAAAAGTATTATTCCACAGGATTTAATATGATGTCGGCCCACCCTTTGCAGTTATAATGGCTTAAACTCTTCTGGGGAGGCCATCCACAGGGTTTAGGAGAGTGTTTATGGGAATTTTTGAGCATTCTTCCAGTAGCACATTTTTGGGCTGGCTCACAGTCGACATTCTAATTCATCCCAAAGGTGTTCTTTCAGGTTAAAGCCAAGCCAGTCAGATTTTTCTACATCAAACACACTCACCTGTGTCTTTATGGCCCTTGCTTTGTCCACTTGTCCTGTTGTATTAAGAATTAAGTAAGTATTAAGGTAGCTGCATGCTTATCTGTTTCAAGGTCAGATTTGATAGCTAAGGGTCTCCGATTTAAGACTCATGGAAATCACCCAAAGAATAAGGACTTCATCCACTAGTGGTCTGTACCACACATTTGTCTGTTCTAGCACTGTGTTGTGTATGTTTTGATGTTGCTGCAGGAGCTGTAAGTAGGGGTCATTCCTTTTCTGAACTTAAGGTTTTTTGGCAACTATATCTGCTTGCTTTGATGTAATGATCCCAGATGTGCGTCTTTGCTTTTTTAAAAGAACACACACACACACTAGATGCAATGGAGAACTGCGGGCTTAGGTAATTCTTATGAAATTACCTAACAAATAAAAATGACTTTTTAAGCCGTTAACTATACCAGGCCATCCAAGAAAGTTGGACTTTGGTTTTTGGTTAGATTTAAATATTTAATCAGTTACCGCTATTTAGCCAGTGTATGTGTTTCCTGTCAAATAATAATTCAGGCTCTACACACACTGAGTCCTAAAAGTGTCTAGAAAGCACAGTTTACTCTGCTAGACTCATTTACAAATAAAGTGTTGTTCTTCAGCATATAAATAACTATTAGTATGTTATGAGTACAATAACATTTCTTTTTTAAAAGTAATGATAAAATAAAAATACAGTCAAGTTAAGAATGACCATCAACAGGAAATGTGGATCACTGAAATTAAGTTTGCGGATGTAAAACATGTATTTCATTAAGGTTGTTATCTGGTACATTATGCTGAAAATAATTTATTCTAGTAATCGTTGTTAAGTTGGCTTTCAGTCTATCCACTGAGATCACTGAGATATGCACTTCATGCTCTGTTCATAGTCTCCTGCACTTCATACACCTTTTTCTAAATACAGTACTACAGAGTTGTTAAAACAAAAGTGAATTATAAAAGAACCTGTTGGGCCAGTGGAAAACTTACAAGCTTGTTAGAGCTTGTATTCATTGTCGTTGGAGTCCATTTCAGTTATTAACCCCCCTCAATCTTTCACGCAGCAATGGTTCAGCAACCTCAGAGGATTTGTTCTGGAAGCTGAACACTCTACAAATGTTTGTGATGGACCTTCACTGGCCAGAACCAGAGTTTGCAAAGCATCTGGAGCAAAGACTCAAACTGATGGCCAGTGACATGATGGAGGCCTGCGTCAAAAGGTCAGACTGCACAAACACCTTTTATTACTTCATAGGAAATAGATAAACATGATGCATGATAGGACCTGCTTAGACATAAGCTATATTACCAGAATATTCACTCATCTGCCTTCATATGCATATGATTTTGAGTGACATCCTAATTCATAAGGTTTAATATGACGTTGGCCCATCCTTTGCAGTTATAACAACTTCAACTCTTCTAGGAAGACTTTCCACAAGGTTTAACAGTATGTTTACGGGAATTTTTGACCATTCTTCCAGAAGTACATTTGTGAGGTACTTGACCATCAACAGGAATGGCTCCTGAAAGCGACCCATTCTTTCACAATTTTTTGTAGAGACAGTCTGAATGCATAGGTGCTTAATTTTATATACCTGTGACCATGGAAGTGATTGGCACACCTGAATTCAATGATTTAGATGGGTGACTGAATACTTTTGGTAATGTAATATATATGGAAAACATAATATCAGATATTAAAGATCAGATTTAATTTAGGAGGATGTTGTCAGACAATATGAAGTCACAAACAGATGTGTTATTCTCAGTGGAAAAAGATGGGAATTTGATGGAACTTCGAAAAAGAAAGCTCATGATGGCTACATCCATCACTTTACAAAAACGTTCAACTACTTCACAAAAGTAAAATTTATGATCTTTAAAGGGACACGAACCATGCAATTTAAAAAGAAGTTTGATTTACATGTATTTTTTTCTGTCATTTTGTCTTATTTTTCCCTGCACATAACTCAACTGTTGGCAGTGATATTTATTTTTTTCAATACTTATTTATTGTAACTCACTGGGCTCTAAGCAAGTGAGCAATATGGCGAGAGGCTACTGCACAATCCTGGTTTCACTTCTACCCTGGGCCATCTCTTGCATAAATGTAAAATAAATATTTCATATGTTGTCAGTAGATCCTCAAGCTAGCAATAATTAAACCATTGCTAAAAAATCCATCAGTTGACACAGCTGTCTTATTAAAGGCCAATCACCAGCCTTTTTTTTTTTTTTTTTTTTTTTTGAAAGATTAGTTGTAAAATGGTTACTGAACATCTGCAGAGGAATGGCTTATTTGAAGAGTTTCAGTCAGGTTGTGAAGGTTATAAATGATCTTTTTATGTGGTTTGAATCATATCTATCTAATTTCTTCCTGTTTAAAGGGAGTTTTTCTTTTCCACTGTTGCCAAGTGCTTGCTCATAGGGGGTCATGATTGTTGGGGTTTTCTCTGTATTATTGTAGGGTCTTTATTTTACAATATAAAGCACCTTGAGGCAACTGTTGTTGTGATTTGGCGCTGTATAAATAAAATTGAACTTAATTGAATTGTACTGAATTGAATTGTGAATGAGGCCTAAATTTCAAGTACTACCTTCTATGTGTTCATTGGATTATTTAAAAAGATAGAAGACAGCATTAAATGTATATAACCAAAATAATTTATTACCTGATAATATAAAAGCTTTTCTTTTGAAAAGTGCTTTACTTCAGTCGATCATAAAATGGCTAAATTGTTTTAGTTATAAAAACACTACCTAAATGTAACCATCCACAAACATGTGTCACTGCTTAATGGAAAAGACTAACACAGTTTAAACATTTTTTTTCTGTTTTGTCCTGTAGAACAAAATCTGCATTTGATGCCAAAATGCAGAAAGTGTGTAAGTCAACAGACTTCCTTCTACCACTGTCAGTTTGCACCATGTTCAACGTGCTGATTGATGCCAAAAACCAATGCTCCAAACTCTGTGTGCTGGACAGCGAACAGGAGGTAAACTATTTATAATTGTAGTTCTGTTGGATCAAATTTACATTTGAAGTTATTAGCCAATGACAAAAGGGGTTATCACTGTCATTACACTTAATAATAGAGCAGGGCGATATGGCCAAAAATATTTATCACGATATATATTTGAAAATTTGCGATAACGATATAACTGACGATATAATTGATGCGAGACAAAATACAACTCCACAACATTACTAGCGCAAAAAGACAACCTTCCATTTATTTTCACTTAAACAAGAAGCTGGTTTTTATGTACATTAAAGCTTTATAAAAATGTAACAGTGCAAATGCAAATTCCTTGCTGAAAGTTTAACCAAAAGGCATTTCCAGTAGAAATGGGCTGACATATCCTGAGCATAACCATGTATAATATCCACTGAAGTTAAAAAGAGGTGCTTTGCAACATTAAACTGCAGTGTGCAGTACGTATTTTTCGGACCATAAGGTGCACGGGATTATAAGGCACATTAAGCGAAACAAAGCAGTCAGATAAATCAAACTTTATTAAACTCATTCTTCTTGCTTCCTCCACTTCTGTACCATTGATTCATTAATGTTGAATTCTCTGGCAGCTGCTCTATTCCCATGTTGTTGCAGTATATTAATGACTAACCTCGTATTGTGGATGGATTATCTCAGTTGTTCTCCTGACTGAAGTTTGGTCCGTTTACAGCATCCTGCCATGCGATTGCATTTGTCTCTAACCATAGGAACCTTACATTAACTTTTATAAGTGGAAAAGTGTTAGTGTTCGTCCTCCAGCTTCACTGTTTATGTTATGCTAACATAGCTGTGTCGCTAGCGATCACGTAGCACATCATTATATACCAGCTAGCCCAACTTCAGTAACCCTACAAACGTCACTGCTGTTTAGTTTCCTGTCTTCATTTATGTTGGAAGTGATAGCAGAGCTGTACGTTTGAATTTTTTCAGAAATCTCTCAGTCAGAACATGCTATATCATGCTTAGGTAACTAGCGAAACTAGCGAGCTAACTTCCGCTAGCTTCCTGCTAACTTCTAACTCCGTTAAATGTAATAAATTTTGTTTTCATGGATGCCTGGAAGTTAAACTTCATAGTTACACCTGGTAAAGCAGCAATGCTGATCGTTTTATTAAAGATGAAAGAATTTAGAGATTTTTTAACTCTCAGTGATGCTGCAGTGTTCGTTTGACCTGAAGCATACGGAGTTTAGGACCCAGATTACTCTCAGATTTAAGAGCATCTTAGTCCGACAAATACAATAACGACGGCCGCTTGCATGTTCTGCAAAAAAATGTGCTTTGTCGTGTATCTGACGGACAAACACCAAACCAGTTCCACATCTCTGAAGTTGCACCATTTTTACAAACTAATTCTAGTTCATCTGTTTCACTCGACAATCGGCCATGTGCGTATGAAAACAAAGGCACTGCGCATGCGCGTTTTACTCATATTCTATCGCGATATTTCATTTTCTTATCGTTGCCTAACATTATACCGGTATTACCGTGAACGGTATAATATGGCCCAGCCCTACTTAATAATATAAGAATATATTGTTAATATGAGAAAATCTCTAAAAGAACATTTTGCATTTTATTAATGTAATTCTTTTTGTGTCCTCCTGTGGTTTTCTTTAAAAACAAAAACAATAAATAAATAAACAACAGTCTGCCACTTTAATAAGCTTTCTTACATATTATAATGATAGGATTGTTAAAAGTTTTTTCCTGCTGTGACAGAAAAATCACTTTGGTAGTGGCTCCAATTCCAGTCATGCTGAATTTATTTTTGAAACCAAGTCATGGTTTCAGAATGAACGCATGTTGGCTTTATTATCTTAGCCTGTGTAATGTGATGTTAAATTAGTGACTTTGTTGGGCTAGCTGGTGAGTTTCGGTGGCTGACTAGCCAACTGGAAACATGTTTGATAGCTAACGGTGTCCTAGCCAGGTCAAAACCAAGTGTTAAAAACTAATGTAAACGTGCCAGTAAAGTTCCTCTAATAGCCACAAGTAAGTCAGCTAACAAAACGTGAGTCACCAATCCACTCATGTGTTATAATGTCCAATTTTACCTCAGACATAAACATATTTACAGTCTGCTACAAAGTCGTTTTGGTCTTGGTGGATAGTTTCCTTTATAACAGTTCTAAGTGGGATAATTTAATTGAGTTAATTCAGATGCTCAGTTTAACCATGTCCCAGCTCACTTGCAGAAGTCACTCTGAAATTTACTGATTGTGATCAGAAATGTCTGTGGAAAATTTAGTCCTGGTTTGAATATCAGATTAAATCACTTATTTAGATGGCTTTATTTATATTTTTCCATTTCATTCTCACAGCTCACCATCAATTTTCCCTACAGAGTGAAAGTGAGTGAGCTTTTAACAAACCTTAGCAGTCTTTTATTTCTGGCTTTAGTCTGAAAAGGTTGAGTCAAATTGTCAGATCAGCCACTAAAGTTTTCTACCAAACACCCAGCAAAAGGGAAGTTCAGGTGTATTCATGTTCACTTGAAACTGTCAGAGGCTATTAAATGGATAACTGTGGAGTCTGTGTGAGGCAGGGGCCTTGGCATCATGAAGAGCAAAACCCTTGGCTGTTGGCAATCTTGACAGAAAGCTAGACTCACTGTTCTCTTAACCTTAAGCTTCCTCAATTCTTCAGCTTCCACCAGCCCTCTGCTGTTGAAAAACATCTGTAATTTTTTTTCCAGCAGACACACAATAAATTCCTGTCTGCATCCTTTGTATACCAGCTTTGTAAATAACATCTACTCAGACTGTTACTGCTACTCTGTTTCATATTTTCAAGTTTTCATGTTCAAGTAATTTGCAAGAATGTGGGGCATTTCATTATTGTTTCTGTAAATTTGAATCATTTTAAATTTAGAAAAGGAGGATTTTCTAGAATTTGCTCATTGGTAAATGAGTTGTGATTAGCAAGCCATTAACCAATAAGCTTGTAGTTGAACAACCAGAGTCAAACCCCACTCACAAAACACCAAGATAGCAACAGCATAAAGACTCTTCTTGAGTCTTCAAAACAGGACTTAACAAACCAGTGGGTCACAGTAGGTACGTCCATTATTTATACCATCTGTGTTCCACACCAACAATCCATTTAGAAAACATGAAAATGAACAGCCTTGGTCTCCTGTTGGCAATTGGAGTTCCTTCATCCAAGTTCAATTCATTTCTGTTCAGTTCAGTCTTATTTATATAGTGTCAAATCACAACAACAGTTGCCCCAAGGGGCATTAATATTATAAGGTAAAAACCGTACAATACAGAGAGAACCACAACAATTAGATGACCCCCTATGAGCAAGCGCTTTGGTGAGTGTGAAAAAGAAAAGCTGCCTTTTAATAGGAAGAAATTGCTGACAGTATCAGGCTCAGGGAGGGGCGGCCATCTGCTGCAACCGGTTAGGCATGAGGGGAGGAAGACAAGACAAAGACACCCTGTGGAACAAAGTCAGAGATTAAGAATAACTAATGATTAAATGCAGAGTGGAAACATAATTTGATCAGGTATTTGTATAGTATCAAGGGAGACAGGTTGGACTCACACAAAGGGATAAAATACAGTGCATTTATTGGTAACACTTTTAAAATGATTAGAAAAGTTTTGAATGTCCCAGGAAAGGTGTGAGCTGAGACACATGAGGGTACCTTCATCTTGCGTGCCAGTGTCAAATGGAAAGTGACAGGGTGTCTATTTCAAAGTCCTTTAAAGTTTCCTAGACTTGGTGTGAAGCAGGATTTTTTTGCAGACACATAGTAAATGGTTAATGGACTGATTATTATAAAGCACTTTTCTCCTCTCCTAGAACACTTTACACAATATGCCACATTTACCCATTCACTAAAGCACTCAGAGCAACTTGGGGTTAGTATCTTACCCAAGGATATTTGGCATGCAGACTGGGGGAGCCAGGGATCAAACCACCAACCTTTCGGTCAGTAGATGGCCTGCTCTACCTCCTGAGCTACAGCCACTGCAACCAAACCTTCTGACATGATTGGTTGGATGGCGCAGGGATGTAGTGTTGATCAGTCAGACGATTGCTTTGTTCCTTTGTTCTCAGGAGGGTTAACCTCCACAAACTGCAACAGCGACAAAGTTGGTGCTGCACAGAGGGGACAGAGTTCAACTTTGACCGCAAGGCAGAGATGAGGTAACCGATTGACGCTTTGAATGATGAAAGTTTGGTGGTAGAGGAATTGAGGAATTATAGGCATATTCCCTACATTGAAGCTGTGAACTTCAGGTGGATGAAGCGATGCAGTGGAGAACTGCCTACAGTTCCTGATTGGCACGCATGTTTTGATCATTTGTCTGTGGGTGGAAATCAGCTAGACTAACCTGCGTTCCGAGTGCTGAACAGAATTATTTCCTGACACGTGAGGTGCACTATTGGCCAAAGTTGGAGACAATCTCAGAAAGGATCCCATGTAACCTGAAGAAGTGCTCTGTAAGTAACTGGGCTGTTTCAAGGGTGGATAAAAGCTTGGGCAAAGCAAGGAAATTAGCAGCTTTAGAAAACCAGTTAATGATGGTGAATTACCCGATGAGGGTGGAAGGCCAGTGATGAAATCCAAAGCGATAATGGGACAATAGGCAGCCAGGCATAGGAAGAAAGAGTCTCAACAGCCCAGCAGGTGGCAAGCTCAATAGCTTATTCTGGGCAAAAACCGATCAAACAAGGACATACTCACAAACATCTTTTGCCAAAGATGACCACCAGAACAGAGGTTATAAGATAGATATTGTTTCATACTAGGCAAGGCAAGTTTATTTATATAGCACAATTCAACAACAAGGTGATTCAAAGTGCCTTACAGAGACATTAAAAAACAAAAACAAATAAAAAGCATGATTTAAAATTGAAAGGAAAAAAAGTAAAAAGGAAGGAACAGTATATAAAATCAGTAGTTTTTGAAATTTAAACTTAAAAGTGTGGATTTGGTGTTTTATTCAAATTCAGCTGAGATCAGGTGAGTCTTCAACCTGGATTTAAATAAACTGAGTGTTTCAGCTGATCTGAGAACTGATAACACAGGACAGAGGCAAGAGGGTTTCTTCCTCTGAGATGAATTGTTTTGACAGATCGGGCTGTCAAAGAGCTGCAGCAAAACATTGCTTAGGCTGTCTAAAGATTCCTGAGCTGTGGGTTTCCACTGGAACGAGACCTTGTCTGAGCTGAGATTTATTAGAGGCAAGGCAACATTATCGAAGTCCCAAATAAATCTACGATCTACAAAGACTCTTGTAAGGGACGGGGCAATGGGCTCTGTGCTTATGTCCTTCAGGACTGGTGCCGTAGCACTAGAATTATAGATAGTCACTGCTCACCAGACTTAGAGGCCATGTCCATTCAGTGCAGGCCCTTTCATCTACCTCATGAGCGAATAGTAGCCATAATTACCATTGTTTATATCTCCCCCAGTGCTACCATTTGCTCAGCACTCAACCATCTCCAACTCATCCTCAACAAACCGCAAAGTGAGCACTCGGAGGGCATCCATATTGTTTCTGGGAACTTTAACAATACACGTTTGAAATCTGTACTCCCCAAATTCCATCAACACGACACTGTGCCAATGTGTACAATAACATCAAGCAGCCCTACAGAGTGACACCCCTCCCCCACCTGGGGTGATCTGACTACCTCTCTCTCTCCTCCTTACACTTCTTACACCCCCTCTAGGAAACAAACCCCTCTGAGTACCTGGGTCATTAAATGGCAAGATGATGCTCTTTTCCAGCTACAGGATTGTTTTGATCTGATGAACTGGTCCATCTTTGAACAGCAGGACCTGGAGACCTTCACTCAATGACAGTGACCAAAACCATCCAGGTTTTTCTTAACCGAAAACTTTGGTTGACAAGTGAAGAAGCTCTGATCAAAACTTGAAACTCAGCCTTCAGGCTGAGGAACAATTCTCTGGATAACACTGCCAGAGCCAGCTTGAAGGGACGGGCATCGAAGAGGTCAAGGAGGACCATAGGAGGTGGATAGAGGTCATTGACAACAACCCTTGCCATGTGTGGAGAGACAACCATACCCTCACCATCTACAAAATCCCCCTACAGCATTCTCAAACTTGCAGAGGAGTTCAACGAGTTTCCTCAGTTTGAGCAAATCCAGGCCAAGACTTCTCACCACTCCATGACAGGTAAACCTGAGCAGAGGGAATATACAGGTAAGTATCGCTTTCACAGTTTAGTGGAAACATTAACTTGAGGCTTGGAGCTGGGTTGCACTGACTGTTGCAAGACAACAATCCAAGTAAGACTGAAAATCTGCCACTCCCTTAAGAAGAGACCACAGAAAGGACATCAGGAGCAGGAGCGTGTCTCTCCAAAAGTTGATTGTGTTCATCTGGACGTAGCAATTTGTGGGAGAAACGTTTCGTCACTCGTCCAAGTGACTTCTTCAGTCTCAGCTGAGTGCAGTTTTCCCCAATCTTATAAACAGTACATTTGCATAATGACTGAAACCAGCCCACTGAAGGAACAATGGGCTGGGATGTCAGTTCCTTAATCTTAATTATGCAAATTTCATGACCATTGATTAACAACCACTGACCAAAGCCCGCTGATCAAAGACCACTGATCAATGGCCATGAGGAACTGACCTCCCAGCCCATTGTTCTTTCAGTGGGCTGGTTTCAGTCATTATGCAAATGTACTGTTTATAAGATTGGGGAAAACTGCACTCAGCTGAGACTGAAGAAGTCACTTGGATGAGTGACGAAACGTTTCTCCCACAAAACGCTACGTCTAGATGAACAGAATCAACTTTTGGAGATTTACTGACCTGGATGATTGAGCATGCATCAAGACGTACAGGTGCGTGATTAAACCAGGTGTCTGGACACAGAAGGCGAGATACCCTGGAGAGTCCTGCCTCTGTACCAAAACCAGAATACACAAATACACACGACAGAGGAGAGAGAGAGAGAGATAAGAGGTGGGAAAGACAGAAGAGCTAGTCGACCAGTGAGTGCAGACGGACCGTCACAGTAATAGAGGACCAAACGTGGTGAAACAAAGAACATTGATTCTGACTTCTGATTTTCTCAAAATGTATGTTATTGTCTACTGAAAATTACATCTCCAATAGTTTTATTATTAATTTAGCCTTAGACTTTTAATTTATTGAATGGAGACCTCAGTGAAAAAAGTTAACTGACCATTTTCTGTTCCTTGAGAGGGACAAATTGATTATATATTGTCCTTGAATCCTGGGTTTCCAAACAAAGCGAATGTCAGTTTGACATCAGATGTTTCAGTCAGTTTTGTCAGGATTTTGAAGTCTGCCTAAATAACTAAATAACCTTGATGAGGAAATAGAACATTCTCTGAAGTTTTTAAGAGGAAGAAATTCTTTAAAACTTTTCTACAGCTTACTGGTTTTACATGTTTTACTTGTGTCGTTGAGTGGTTGCAAATATGACTGAAGGAAATTGAATACCATGGTCATGTTGAGTTTTGTGGCTCAGGATTGTTGCAAATTCTCAAAATTACTTACTTGAAATATTTCATTGAGTGTCATAATAAAATGCGTCAATATTGTTGGACAACAGAACTTTGAAGATGAAACAATTGCTTCAAAGTAAACTATAGAATAGAAATGAAAATTAGTTTTATCTTAAAGGACTGAGATTGCTGAAGAAGTTCATCAGCAGTTCTTGGGAAACCTCCACAAAGTTACTTTCAATGATGACAGCGTTGCACCATCTCAGATCTGGCTCATCAGGCTCATTATGAATGAACGAGAGAAAGACTATTCTGCAAATTGTCATAATACCCTTATGTCTTTAAGCCTCACCCAACAACTTTTGCTGTGTAGGATGTTTGAAAGCTCTATTATTTTAGTTACAACTATATTTTTGTTGTTATTGTTTAGAGAACAAACCACAAATGGATCTGAATGAAGTCATGAGTTGAATCACACAGCTGTCAAGTTTTGCAGTAGAACATGTTGGGCATGCTCTGTTTAAACCCTACACTGAAAAAAGATCACAGGTACAATATAGCAAAACCACTTCGTCAGATCAAAATTAATTGATAAGGTGATAGTTATGGCTCTTCTCCATACAGTAGTATTTCTTCCTCCAAACAAGTTGTAAGGGGTACTCCACGTTTTGACCTGCCAGCATCTTTGCTATGGTGAGAATAAGAACGTAAACTGTACATCAGACTGACCTAAGTAGTTAGCACATTTGGTTTTAGTAATATTAGTTATTTTTGCAAGAGACTGATTTTACAAAACAAGAATTCTGACTTTCAAAGACTCGAACAAACAAATTTGCAAGGTTTTTTCAAAAGAAGACTAATTCTGGATTGCTGCCATCTTTTGCTTTAACCGAGTAGATGTGCAGCAACAAATTCCTCCAAAAAAGTTCTGAGATTTCTGTACACGGTCCTATCACCAAAGGTTAACCTCTCTTTGCTCTTTCCAGCTGATGTCACTCACCTAACAATTATTCCTATCCTTTTTCATTACTTCTGAATTCTATATAAACTCCTTCCAGTTAAACTGAAAGATTCTACTTTCGTATAATGTCTCTACACCATGAAAAGCATTTTATCAAAAAAAGAAAAAAAACAAGTATTATTCTGAGGCATTAGTTTTTTTCTTCTTAATACTATCTACAGTTCAAAAACTTAGCAGTCTGTCTCAGCTACTGCAGTGAACTCACCTGCTGTGGTGCCACTGAGTGAGAGCTGCCTCGCTGACATCTCGCTAAAATGGATTGAAAATCAGAAATCTACAGAAAATTTGAATACTTACTGTCACAGAAACAATGTGGTCAACAGTGATGAATGCAGAGCTATCTTATGATTGTTGTTTCTGGGCTTTCACTGAGTCTTCACACCCACTCATGTTTCAAAAGCAAAAGCAGACAAGTGGGCAGACCTCCATATTTGACAGGAAATTACCTGCCAGATAAAAATAAAATGTGGAAAATGAAAAAAATGTAATGTTTCAAAAAGTAATAAAAGCGTAAAAAAAAGAATGAAAATAAAACAAGAAAAAAATGTTAAACTTTGTGGACATTGTAAGAAGGGTAAGAACCTGTGAGCAACTGATAAAAGAGGAGCACATCTTACTTTTACTCCATGGTCTTTTATCAGAATCTGAATCAGTCCAGCTGCTACTGCTACAAAAGACTGCTACATTTTATGTTGGGGGTCAAATTGACCCCAGGAAACAAAACCTTCCAAACATGACTGCCATATAATTGAAATAACTAAGTAAAATTAAATGTAATATTTAAGTAGTAGGTATTTAATATGCAAAATCGTTGAAGTTGGTCAAAAATAATAAGATGAACTAATTCAAATGGAAGCAAATGTTAGATGAACTTAAACTGTTAAAAAAAAAAAACTTTACAAAACGTAATTTACTTAATTATTTTGAGTGTTTGGTTTAAAGTGCACGCAAACAGTTTTCAAACCATATTTCCAACTTGGGAATTAAAAGATGGGATTGGAGTTCATTTACACCTACTTTTCTGGCTGTTATGTTAACTATGTTATGAAAAGGCCACAAGCAGTTTCAGTGTCGTCATATGGATCATCTGTTTGACATGTGTTGAATGAGTTGAATATTGTAAGTCATTAATTGATGCATTTAAAAACTAAAAATAAGAAAATCTTGCCTTACTGTCCTTTTTTTCTTTTCTGTCTCATGTTCTCCACCATCCCTCATATCCATGTTTCCTTCTCATCATTGTTTGAACACCAGATTGACGGACAGTGGGTAAGTGCCTCCACCTCCTCATTAACCTTCCTTTCCCCAGCCCTTCCCATTTCCTTGTTAGGAAATCTAAATTAACATCAATAAAATGATGAAGAATGAACAGAAGTTTATCTTAGCTTCCTTTGAACCCTGTAAAGTTGAGCCATTTATTTTGTCCATTTGATGGTTAATGGTCAGTTAATAGATATGTTGCTATCTGCAAACTAAGCATATGAAGCACAGTGAATAAATATGTTCTGCAACTTTGCAGTACCTGGAAAGAGTACCATTACCATTACGTGATATTCATACTCAGGAGATTTGATATTTCTGGTGTTTGAGTTGACGCTAGCTAACTTATAAAACTCGGCTAAAACAGCTAATTATAAAAACTGAATTAACGTTAGCCTTTTTTCCTAGAAAATATTTTGATGTTGAGTGTTATGTGAATGTGAAGTTTTGTCAGGATTCTTCAGCATGACTAATAAAGAGTGCCAACCTGAAGATGGGAGTTTTGGTTTGGTTTTAAATTAAACAGTCTATTTTGCATTAGACTAATCTATTAGCAAAATTAAGCCTGGTCTAACCATACAAACCAATGACTGTAGAAAATATATATTTTCTGCAGTCATTGATTCAAACCATTTTAAAGTATGTCGGTAAAACTGGTGGAATGTTGTAAACAGGTTCATGTAAGAACTAGTTTCTTTCATCTAAAAGAAAATACACCTCCAACTTGTAACAGTGTGAAGAAGAATGTCTACCCATCCTTCAGCTGTATGCTAAATGCTAGCCCTGGCATACCACTAGGGGAAAATGTGTATCCCTGAGGGTAACCACCTACCAAATGAAAATGTGATTGCCCAAATCTAATACCTTTGAGGTGAACTGGCCCCTTTTAAGTTGCTTGTAGGGGTTGTGAATGAGCCCCATAAGAGTCTGAACTGAATCCAAACCAACAATTTTCTGTTTAAGTTTTAGAGTCTACTGATCTCCAGAAAAGTGTTTGGACGTTCTTAAATCCCTCTGTGCCAAATCCTGCCGTTTTAGAAAAAACTATGAGGGGTTTGACTGGAAGGCAACACAGAGTCTGTGAAAAGTCCACCCTTGATAAAGACTTCTCTGGTTGATTAACAGTTTTTCTTTTACAAAGCCCATGAAATTGCTAATCAATGTGCTGTTGTTCTGTTGCTGAGCACATTTAAATGGTGAGGGATGGGTAGGGGGGGGCTCATATTAAAAATGTGACCTAATTCTGATCTCAGCCAATTCGCAAGGCTGAAGTAGCAGCAGTAGTTACAGCTCAACAGGCAAATAAATGTTTTTAAAAGATATAATTGTTCTTTTCAGTTTTGTGTCGCATATGGCAAAGACCAAACAATTTCTTCTCCTCCTCTCTGCTTTTTTTAAGGCAGGCATTGTAGGAAAAAGGAAGGAGCAGTAGTGTTAATTGAGGTAAGAAGAAGAAAAAAGAAAAGCTCTCAAGATTTGCTAGGAAGATTCAGAGCACTGAAAGAGAGCTGCCATATTGAAGACTTTTGGAAGGGAAAAAAATTGGCGATGACCTCTCTGGACCCGCAATTTGTCAGCGATCTGTATGCTTTGTTGATTGAAATTTTTAATTTGGGTGTTCTTTAGAAGGCCAGTGAAAGGGCATTGTCACTAAGAGATGAACCCCCCTGCTGCTGCTACCATTCAGTGCTCAGCCCCTGCATTTTTTCTTTCTCTCTCCTTCCTTGAAGGGAAAAGGGTGCCATAAAAAA